CACACACAAAAAAAAAAAAAAAAAAAAAAAGAGAGTGAAAAATCACTTTCATTCTATATAAAACATTTTTGAGACAAGTTTTGAAACTGAGCCCCTTGAGCTAAGTCTACTCAGCAACAAAGGCCTAGTGAGGATATAAAATCCTTTGCTATAGGATGGAGAGGCAGAGGTAGATGCAGCAGACACAATTCCTGACCTCGGAAAGCTCTCAAGGAGACAGACACGGTGAGGGTAGCGCGAGGCAGGATGGAATAAGTACCATCCTCAAGGTGCCAGCAGTGCATCATGGGAGCCCAGCAGAGGCTACAATTAACTCCCCTGGACAGCTTCATGCACGTGGCCTGAGACTCAACAACAAGTCAAGCTCCCGGTCCCATCCCACCTAAGCCTGGGCAGCACGGTGGTGCAAGGGGAGGGGAGGACTCTCCGGGAGTGCCGCAGAGGACAACTAATGGTGCTAAGTATTCCACTCGCAAAGTTGGAAGAGTGCCAACAGTGCGGTACGCCACTCCCCACAGGACTTGTGAGAAGCACCGCTTCTGCAGAACCGGCCTTACAGCCCTCTCTCCTCCCCCAACTCTTTATCTGAGAGGGGGCTCAGAGAAAGCCTCCTGGGAGTACAGAGTTTGGGAAGGGAAGCAGTCCCCTTTCCCCACCTAGATGAGTGGGTGGACACTAGATCTTTGAGTTCCCAGTTCCCGAGAGAGATCAGCTGACCAATGTGTGCCTACACACTGGGGATCCAAGAAAGCAAATCCAGCTCCACCCCACCTCCTCCCCAAGGTCCACCTTGCACCAGGGGAAGGGAGAGCCTTGAATTGGATCTGAACAAGCAGTTTGAGAACAGCCTGGACTTTGTAACCAAAAGTGACCAAAAACCCATGAAGCCAGACACCAGCAGGGACACCACCACCCAAGCAGGCCAGGAGTGACAGAGCCGAGCCAGAGGTCAGTACTGGGGGAGAAAAAAAAAAAAGGCCTTTCCCTGTTTAAACTGCAAGCGTTCAGACTTCTCAATCAAAAGGGGCACACGTGGTGTGACAGCGTGTGTGGGGACAGGGAGCCAGAGTCACTGCTTGCCCGCAGGCTCCCGTCTCCTGGCCTATCCCCCCTCTAATGCGTGGTAGATAAGCTCCTACAGCCCACGAACATGCTGATGTTTACTAATTACTAAGAGCCAGTGCGTCTCACACTGCACTGTGTATACACCTCAGAGGGAGCTTGTGAAAATGCAGCTCCTGGTCTAGCAGGTCTGCGATGAGGCCTGAGATTCTGCATTTCTAACAAGCTTCCAGGAGGTGCTGACACTGCTGGTCCAGGAACACTCTGAAGCAAAGGCCTTCTGAGCTCCCACGGTCTCCCCTGCATTAGCTCTTGGCATATTGCATTGTAACGACTTTTTAAAGAGTTTCACCCAGCAGAGTCTAAGGGCCTGGGTGACAGGAAGAGCATGGGATCCATTAGTCTCAGCCCAGTGCATAGGATAGCACCAGGCAAGGAGAAGCTATCAGTGGATGTGTTATGAACAAACTAACACATGAATGGAAAAATGGAGTGCAGCCTGCTAGCTAGGAGGCTCAGCCAAGATGCACAGAATAGGCAGACGGGTGGCACAAGCAAACAGAGGTGCCCAGTCCCACAGACTTTGTCCAGCTACCACCCTTCCCATGACACCCAGACAGATCTTCCTGACCGCCAAGTCTATGCCCGGCACTGGACAATTGGAAACCACCTCTGCAGAGATAGGAGGGTCAGGAAATGTCCCAGAGAAACAAGGTAAAGACAGGAGTGTGTACCATGAAAAGTGATGAGTTCTGAATTTCCAGGATACGTGGTACCAACCTAGAGAGAGAGAGAAAGCCAAGGTCATACACTGCAACCCTGTTCTGGTGTTTGCATGCACGGGGAGCCACAGTCCCCTGTCCTGGGGGTGAGGGGTGAGGTCATGGAGTCAGGCCTTCCTTGGGTCTTGTAGCCCCCAAAGGCCCTGAGTTTCCCGGCATCCCTCAATGCAAGGCATCCCAGGCCTTCAACTGGGGCAGGGGCAGGGGGTGGGGGCAGGGAGGGCATCATGTAGCTGAGCTGGGCTGAGACCTACTGGCTGAACAACTCTGCAGAGGCAAAGCCCAAAGCTTTAAGACAAAAAGTCATGGCAATTTTGGTCTGGTCAACTGTGAGTGTTCTAGCCCTCCCTTCTGATCAATCAGGATTGATTCACGTGAGAGGTCAAGCACTCGTGCAAGTGATGTACTCAAGCCATGATGCTGGGCCAGCCGTTAGCTTTGCTGCCATGTGTAATCAAAGATGAACACACTGAAGAGGAGTTGATGGTGGTGCTAATTAATAAAGGGGAGTTATCATTAAACTGGGGGGCTATTCTAGACTTCCCATTAAGTGCCAGGGGTCTGGAGTCCAAGCTATTCAAGATAATATTCCTTCACAGTTCATCCCCAGATTCCTGCATTTCTTTCTTTTTTTCTTTGTCTGTTAACACAGAGCCACCTGCCACCCTGCTTTTAATAGTCCACCTTCACCTTTTTCCCAGTTAACATGCATAATCAGAATGATCCCTCTCACACCAGATCCTCCCATGCTTTTGGGTGCAGGGTCACAAGATGCTCAGGGGTCACAAAGAGAAGATGAGGGGAGGAGACAGGAATTTTCCAGGAAGAATATTTCTAAGTTAACGATAAAGGCAGCAGTGCCCAGCTGATATCTTACAGCTATGCTGATAAAGTTGCTCCACTCCAGGGGTGGATTGTTAAGGGTAAAATGTTAAGGTATTAGAAAGGGGCTGAAATGAGAAGGGGCTTGTGAAATGCTGGATATGAGAGGAAGCATTGCTTTTTCAAATGTCCATTTTGAGAGCTGGTCAAGAAACATCCATGCCCCAGCCTGCATGGTGTCCAGACAGGCAACATGAAATCAAAACCCAAAATGCTCTGAGTTCATCTTTGGCTTACTTTAAGGAACATCATGACCCCCAAAGGCCATGGTCACAGCCAAGTGTCCTAGCACAGGCCACGGTAATTGCAGTAGCATTTTTACAACGCTCTTGAGTTTTTCAAGTACTGTCCCATGGCTGGTTCATTTGAAGCCTGATATCATGTTTGCTGGGAGGGGCTTCGGGCACTAACTCACGGTGGGACCTTGCCTCTCTGGGCTGAGGTCTCCCCTTCTCTATGGCTGGGAAGCAGCCAACTCTCAGGAGGGTCTCTCCAGCCCTGACGTTTTAGGATTCCTTTCAGGCCACTGATGTAAACGTGACCTGGTTAGCTGTTGTCCTCATGTAGTTCTGGGAGCCAGCAGGCCCCTTGGTCACCTTACGCAAGTGGGTCCTATCCTCTGCCTTCCATGCCAGAGTTCCCAGGCCATGGGCTGCAGACTTGGGTGTCTCAAAGTTTAGACATGGACAGATGTCTGGGCAAACACTCAGCCAAACTGCGTCATTTTAAAGCCTCTGACCCAAGTCTCATCACCACCTCCAACAGGCATCAATTAAGAACCCACTTCAAAGAATCTTCTAAACTGTAATTTGCAAGCTCCCGGGAACAGAGGCCACGCCTGTCTAGTTCACCCCTGTGGTCCCTCACTTGTACTTGACACTTGGTAAGTCCTTGATAAATATTTGTTGGATGAATGAGAGAATAGTTATGCACAGTCCCATGACTAATGCCTGTGCACGGGGAGAGGCCCACCCTCCCTGGGTTTCCCCACACCTAATACGGATGACACCCCAGGGACACTGCACTGACCAGCTGGACGACCAGCCACGTGTCTGACCCCTTGGGGTGCCTGTACCTGCTGCCTGGTGGTCAGGGCACCCGCATGATAGCCCCAGCTCTGTCCGTCCTGTGACCTTAGACAAGTCAGTGAGCTTGTCTGAGTCACAGTTTGTTTCCTCATTACAAAGGGGGAAAGTCCCTCCTCTCTAGGTTGTATGCTGTGCAGTAATATGACAGTTGAGAAAGGACAGTTATAGATTTTAGCCCAAAGCTCCCAATGCAAAGAGCGCTGGTTAGAATTGCCTTTATATTCTCATCTGTATTTTAAGGGGTCTATTTCCCTGCTTCTTATACTGCTCCAAGCATGAAGCTAACATGCTAACATGAAGCTAACAAAAGACACTGCTTTTTGACTGCATTAAAAGACACACTCTGTCCACATGTGTGCCCTTAGAAGACCCAGTATGTTTCAGTGCCACAATCTATTATCTAGAAACCTCGAGTCACTCAAGGGTCTATATGCAGGTGATAGAAGACATCAAAGAGGACACTGACAGAAAGAAGGGGCTCAAGACAAAAACTCATCTTCTCTGAGTTGCTTTCTATGCCAAAGCCTTTCACTGCCAAGGCAGTGACTATACGCTACTTACTGGAGTTTTGCAGTGTGGCCGGACTGGAACTGGGAAGACGGCCTGTGGGAAGTGAGAATGAGAGGAGGGAATCAGGGCACCCGACTCCAGCTTAGGCTGGTCTGGGGCCGTTCCCCGCTCCTCCTTCAGGTCTCCCCCACCTACCCACTACCAACTTACTCCTTTGATGTTAATCACAGCTCCAGGTGGTCCTGGGGGGCCTGGAGGACCAGGTAGGCCAGGTGAGCCCTAAAGGGAGCAAAGAAAGGCCATCCCTGAGTTCAGGTTGTTATGAATGCAGAGGCAGCTGCAGGACACTTCCCCAGGGTTTGGAGACACAGTGAGGAAAGGAGGGTCATCTAAAGCCAACTAACTCTTCCCATGGGTAGGCCAGTCTCTTCCCAGAGCACGCCTATATCTGTGGCCTCGCTGCATCTTCACAACAGCAGAGCAAGTATCATTGCTGGTTTACAATTGGACATAATGAGGGCCAGAGAGGGGAAGTGACCTGCTCAAGGCCACACAGCAATTCATGGCGGAATGGAGACTGGAAGCCAGATTCTGACCCCAAGAGCAGTGCTCAGAGGATACCGAGCCCACCACCTCTATCGACGCTTCCCTCATACAGAGCGGCGGGTGGAGTGAGGCCTTCCCAGGGTACAGTGCCTGGGAGAGCCCCTCATAAATGTAACAATAAACGCCAACTCCTGTTAGATGGCAGAGTCACTTTCAGAGCCGCGTCAGCCTGGCCTTGACACCATGCAATGTTTGCTCCGCCAAGCCTGGAGCCCAAGCTGGACCTGCAGCAGAAGCTGCAGGAGGGGAGGGGGAGGGGGAGGGGGAGGCTATGGCCACAGGTGAGAAGCCTCCGGCCCACGAGGAAGCTCCACGTGATCACTCAAGTGCAGGCACCGGTGTCTGCTGTACCTGGAGCCCCGGTAGGCTTGGTGAGTGAGTCGGTGCCCAGTGATTCAATACGATTGCATTTCTGCATTTCTAGGCATACAAAGCGGCGACCATGGGGTGCAAACAGAAGCAGCAACACACTTTGAGCTGCATTTGCATGCAGCAAATGGGGGACCTTCAGTGGGTCACTAACTTGTACAGGCCCTAGTTTCCTCCTGTGTAAAACAAGAACGCCACTGAGTTTCTCTTAGGCGAGTTACTATCAAGACTGAGATCCTGTCCTCAAAAGCACTTTGTAGAGTGTCTGGTACACAGTAGGTGCTCAATAAATGCTGGCTTCCTTATTGCAGACGTGGGACCCTGTTGATGCTCCGGTGTCTGTCATCTTGCGAGGTCCTGCCTACACAGCTGATCAACCTTCCGTGTTCTCTCAAGAGCGCTCACCGAGCAACCCCAGCAACATGCGAAACCCCCAGGACTGTGTAACCCAGGAAGGACGGGATATTACCCGAGTCAGAAGACCTGGGATTTGAAACCAGACTTCTTGAGAAAGCCCAGATCGTGTTCTCCCACCCTCCCTCTGGGGTCTGGACGAGGAAGCCTATGCTCCACTAAGGTGGATTTGGTGGCAGGGACCTCCTGAGAGCAAGCCGGAGGACAGGGTTGGGCTGCAGGATCTTTGGAAGTGGCAGCAGAGGAAGAAGAATAACGTTCCTGAGCATTCTGTCCACGAGCCCTGCTCACTGGACCTGGCACTCGTTCGCCCCTCCTCTGGACACTTGCCCTGGGGCCACGTCCCTGGGGCAGCATGGGGCTGGGTCTCTGGTGTGGCACTCACCGGCATCATGACCCCTCGATCTCCTTTGGCGCCTTTGAGGCCATTCAGTCCTGGGCGACCCTGAAACCCACGGGAGAGGCCTTAGTAAACCCACTGCCCGCAGGCCAGCCTGGCCCGCACGTCCTCCCTCGTACGCAATATGAGAAACCCCAACACCTACGGGTCGTCCAGGGAGGCCAAATTCTCCTTTGTGTCCTGGTGGTCCTTTGGGCCCCTGGAGGCAAAGTAAATACCAGATTAGAAAGAGAAAAATACTGTATGATGTCACTTATATGTGGAATCTAAAAAAGCCAAAGTTGTAAAAACAGAGTAAGATGGTGGTTACCAGGGGTAGGAGGGTGGGGGAATAGGAGAGGTGAGGTTTAAGGTACAAACTTGCAACTAGTAGACAGCTAGGTCCTGGAGATCTAATGCACGGTATAGTGAATATGGACAGCAACGCTGTATTAATATTATAATCCTCAAACTGCTAAGAGTCTAGATCTTATTTATTCCAACCACAAAAAAGAAATGATAATTATGTGACATGAGAGAGCTGCTATCTCCACAACAGCAATCATATTACAATATATAAATGTATCAAATCAACATGTACACCTTAAATGTACACAATGCTGTATGTAAAATATATTTCAATTAAAAAGGAAAGAACAGAAACTCAAGGGCTAGGGAGATGAGGGGCATCCAGCCTACCTTTGTGGGTATTGGTGACAATGAACCACTAATAGGAGGATGGAGGGCAAGGAGAAGTTATGAAATGTCCACCTGCTTGGCTCCTTGTCCCCTGGCCTCTCTGTCCTCAGCTGGACCCACTTGCTCAATCCCTCCTGCAGGGCTCTACCCCAGTCCAGACGCTGGACCCAACCCTCTCAGCCAGTCAGAGCTAACAAAGAAGCAAGAGGTCAGTAGCTCCTGGCCTTAGCTCCCAGGTAGCTGTGTGCTGGGCCAGCTCAGAACGTGGATCTTTGCCTTAGGTCTTATGTCCCAGGGTTCTCCATGTCCCCCGTTGGAATAATGCAGTCCTGCTTCACTCCTCATGTCAGCCAAGCCCAATAACCTGCTTCAGGATTTGGTTCCTACCTTGCTCTCACCTGTCCCTAAGGACCAGAATCTCAGCCTGGCTCCCCAGTTCTCCAGATGAGCCCCTGCCCATGGACCGCATTCCAGTGCTTGCTTCCTGTGTCCCCATGCTCCCAGAACCACTGCCCTGTTCCAACCTCCTGCCGGAACCCTCATGCCTTCCAGTGTCTAGGATGCATACAATGTACCGCCTCTTCCCAGAACAAGCTCTACTTCCAGTTGACACCTTTCCTGTTTTGTAACTGGGTCTGTCCTGTCTCCCAGGGGAATGACTGGTTTAAGCCTGGGGCCTATCAAGCCCCTTCTTCCTGCTCTCTATATAAGTCTGTATTCAGACTTACCCTGAAGAATGGCAAATAGACTGTGTTGAGACAGGCTCTGTATGTAAAGTACCCAGACCAGGTTACTCTCAGGAAAAGAAAAGCAAGGAGTTAACAGGCCACAGGCCACGTGGCGGTACGTTCTAGCGCAGGGCTTCTCAAACGTCACTGTGCGCAAGTCATCTGGATCTCATCAAAATGCAGATCCAGCAGATCCGGGGCGGGGCGTAAGGCTCTGCTGTTCCAACGAGCTCCCAGGTGATGCTGATGATGCTGGTCCACGGGCCACACTTTGAGTAACAAGGCTCTAGTGTTGTAAGCTATACTCGTCATGAGGGCCATGGACAGCCCATGTGACACCTTATGCAAATTACAAGAAGGTGCCCCCTTACTGTCTGTGCTTGGCAAGCTATGCACAGCTGGGCTTCAGTGGCAATAACTACCCTGGCCATCTGCAACAGCTTGCCGGCCACCATTGCTAACAATTAGTATTTCCCACCATACTGGGTATTAGTAAGTGTTACCCAGTGGTTAACACAAGACTCTCCCAGTCTGCCTTAGCCTGCAGCTAGGGCCAAGGACACCTCTCCAGGGCATCCATTCTGCCTGACTTAAGGGACCAAAGGCTTTAGAAGGTCCTTTGAAGGATGCACCTTGGAGGTTATGGGCCATTCATCAAGGACACGTGCCTGTTAGAGAAATGTGAGGTCCTTTCTCCCCAGGCCTGAGATCCAGCTTCAAACAAACCCCGCATTCAAACCCCAATGTGCAGTTTTCCAGCTCAAAATGTTTCAGAAGAATGAAGGTGTCAGCTGGAGGCAGTGAGGTGTGCTGGGAAAAACCTGGACACAGAGTTTGACAGGCTGGGTTCAAATCCCTGCTGTGTCACTAACAAGCTGTACGGCAGTGGGCTAGTTACTTAACCTCTTTAACCTCGGTTTCCCGGTCTATAAAATGGGGGTTCTGACATTAGCCTCTTAGGGTGGTGAAAATGAAATGAGATGATCTGTGTTGAAGCATCACTGTCTGACCCATGGTGGATGTTCTATGAGTTTTCTTTGTTCTTTGGAAAGAAATATACGAGGGGCAAGTTTAGGGTTCATCTGGAGAGAACTGGTAGCTTAAAAATTGTTCAGCAGCCCCCCAAAATTATAGATTCCTGGAGCAGTAAGGCAAGAAGGACCCTATCATGTCATCTAGTACTCATTCAATACCTCACTTATAGATGGGAAGACAAAAGCCCAGAGAGAGAAGAGGACTTGTTTGAGGTCATACAGCAAATGGGCAGCAGACCCAAGACCAGAAGCCAAAAGGCCCAGGTTCCCTGGGTAATGACAATCTTTAGCTGGCAAGACCCATACAACTGTGGGTCTCACCACCATCCGTTTCCCCTCTCCTTCTGGACACACAGCCAAACCACATTTCTGAGACCTATCCCCACCCCCACTCCCACCCCCGCCTCCTGCATCAGAGGTCTGGCCAGAAGTGGAGTTCATCATCTTCCATGGTCTCTTCCCCTCCCCAACCTCAGCCTATCAGCTGGAAGATGCCATTGTGGCCCTGAATCCACCAGAAGGCAGAGTCACAGGATGCAAGCATCCTGGGTCCCCGAGTCACTGCTTGGAGGGGAGATGCCCAACTGGGAACCACCACAGTGGACTCTGCATAAGTGAGAACTAAGCTGCTATCATGCTGAACCACTGAGATTTTATTTCATTGCAGTTAGCCTACCCTTGACACAGATACATTTTGCCACAACCTTTTTATTTTCACAGCTGGGACAACTCAATCTAGTTGAGCCAAAGTACGATAAATGCTTCAAACCCCAGTCTAGATGCAGGGGCGAGACGCTCTGGCTTACCATCGGTCCCGGGGCTCCACGCTCTCCAGGTTCACCCTAAAACAGGGAGACACGGACTTGTCACTCAGATGCACACGGTTTGCGACAGAAGCAAAGATAGGATGTAGAAGATGTGTGCCTTCAGGATCTGGTGACATAGTTACCTTTCGGGTCCTCAGCCTTTCCAGAGGAATATCCCCCGTCAGGATGGCGCCCGGCTCTCCCTTCTCACCCTGCAATTCAGAGAACCTTTTGATGCAGCCGGGCCTCCGCCTCACCGCCTTATCCAGAGGCTCATCGCCATGATTCCTCTGGCCTTCACGCTGCCTCTCCAGCCCCACTGCCCGACAATGACCTCTTGCTAGAATACTGCATAGCCTCCTAAGTCATTAAATGTTCTCTGGACTGTTCGCTCCATGTACCATCAGTTGCTGTCTGAAAGCACAGGTTGGGGTCCTGCAAGCCCCTCTGGGGCTCCCGCTGCTTCCAGATCAGCATCTCCACTCTCAACCCTCCAGGAATCAGTCCCAACAAGGTCCATCCCACCTCTGGCTGTGTGGCTTCCCCCTGAGAACCTCTGGCTCCTAATATATTTGGTGGCTTTCTTTCCTAACAACTCGGCTTGAGGTCTGTTCCCACCTAGAATCCTTAGTCTTGTTAAAACATCTAAAATTGGGAAAGTGATGACAGCATGAACAGTGGAGGCCTCTCCAACACAGGGGCCCTGAGTCTCCATGTGGAACTTCACCTCCAAACTCCAGGCTCCTGTGCAAATGCTCACTTGATCAGGCAAAGTTATCTCAGTTGCTAGGAAATAGGGGAGATGGGTAGATAGGTGGCAGGGACACAGGATCCTGCCCCCAATCCTGTGCTCAGCAGGGCCATCTGCTATCCCAGGAGGCTTCCAAGAAGATATATGTCCAGAGAAAAGGCCGGGGAGAGGAACCATTCAAGGCTCTGGCTCCGAACTTCAATGCTAGCCTCTGGGGAACTGGGCTGGACCACACGAAAGTCTCCCTTCAACAGGGCTGGAAGCAGCCAAGGCAGTGGTGCCACAGCAAGCCAAGCAGCCTCTCCTCTCCGTCCCCCAAGCCCACACCAGATATTTGGATCTTACCACTTCGCTGGTGAGGAAAAGCAGTCCTGAGCACGCCAGCAGCAAGAAGAAGCAAGCACAAAAGCATTAGAGGCAGAGCGAGAGAAAGCGCGTTGGCTGCGAGGATCAGAGCAGACCTGCCTGGGCGCTCTTCCCAGTTTTCAAAGTGGCAGGGGATTAGGGGAGAGATGGCACGTAGGTCCCACTAGATTCACCCGACCTCGCCACATAGAAAACAGAGCATTTAAAGCAAGAGCCAATCCTGCTTGACCAGGCCTCCTCCCAAGCCAGAACTGCCCTGACCCCACGCCATCTCTGTAGGCCCGTGGCAGCAAAAGGCATCCCAAGACATGGTCCCATGTAACGCTAAACTCAGACCCAGCACACTGAACCCTCCACCTCCTGGAACTGTGGCCCAACAGACACTGGAGACTCTCTCCCCCTCCATGGAGCTAGTGGAAAACGGTGAGGGGAGGAAGGAAAGAGAGTAGCCTAATGCTCCCTCCTCTTAGAGACACACACACCCTCCTTGACTCCCCAAGGCAGGCTCAGGGCTGCTCCCACTGGCTTTATACAGACCCCTGTTACAGCAATGACCATGCACTCTGCTGGCTGTCTGCATGTCTGTTCCTCACATCTTATTTCTCTATCCCTAGTGCCTAGTATAGGAAGCTGGCTGGCACACCTTAGGGAATGGATGTAATCTGGATGAGTATATAAATGGATGGATGAATAAATGAATCCAATCCAGAATAACTGCAATCCATTTATGGACGTCACTCTCCCCTTATCTATAAAAACCAACTGGGAAATTAATTCTAAGAGGCAAATGTGGAAGGGTACAAAGGTCATTTCAATGCCCTTGGAATTTTCAGGAAGTGCTCTGCATGCTAAATATTCCACAACTTCTGCACCAAGACTGCCATCCAAGTGCGGAATGCCCCCGCTTACACTAATAATAGTTTAATAAAATAATGACTTCTAAATATTAGCATCATTGTATTCATTACTTATACATCTTTTCATCCAACATATGTTTTAAGTGCCATTTGTGTACCAGGCGCAGTGCTAAGTACTGGAGCTACAGAAAAGAAAGTGGATGTGCCTGCCCTCGGGGAGTGCACACTCTAATGCAGGTGCCCGGGGGCACTTAGACAAAGCACAGCGTTCAAGGGAGCGTTGGGTTGAGTTCTCTTTCCAAACTATGATGAAAATCTGCTTCTCCACCCACCCCACCTTCACCCTGGAAGAACCTTGAGATCATGAAAGTTAACAGCCGGGGAGTGACTGCTACTAGATACAGTGTTTCTTTGGGCATGATAAGAATGTTCTAGAATTAGGTAGTGGTGATGGCTGCACAACCCTGTGAATATACTAAAAGTCACTGAATTTCACAATTGAAAGGGGTGAATTTTATGGTGTGTGAGTTCTATCTCAAATTTTTAAAAAGTTAACAGCTACTTTCAGCCCGTTCGAAATATTAACCAAGTTCTAGAGCACAATCCCACCCAGATAGCTGGGCCCTTCTTACCTGTTCTCCTTTTAGTCCTGGAAATCCAGGCACACCAGTGTCACCTTTTGGTCCTCTGGGTCCCTAGAAGGAATCATTGGAGGGTATTCAGTGGTTTGTTAATATGAAAATGCTTTCACTAAACAAAGTTGTTGTTCCAAAAAGTAAAAGAACACAGAGTGCCAGTGGAAGTCACAATTAGTCACGATGTTTTCCTGATATTAAGTGGTCTAGAAATTGTGGTCTGGTGGAAAGAAGACAGCGCTGAGTGTTAGGTGGCCTGGAGGCCCCACTCCTCTTTGAACTGTGGTTTCCTCCAATGGGCACCATTGAAACTGCCTGCTGCCTCTGCTCACCCATGGGTCCTCGCGGCCGTCCTGCAGCCCACCTCCCCATCATTCACCCTCCATGAATCCTGCCCCTTCTCTGGCTCCCCACTACCTACGGGATGGGATCCAAACATCCTAGCCTGACACCCAAACTGATCCCAGCCGGCCTCAGCGCCTCATCTTCCACTCCTGTCACTCCACCGGGGGCGAGCCTATCCCCTTAGCCTCTCTGCACCCCTCACCCGCCCGCCACCGCCATTCCCTCTGCAGAACCAAAATTCTGCACACCCGGTCAGAGGTGACCTCGTCTCAACTCCAACATACACTTAATATCTGTGACAATGACTCACACTGCCAGACGTCTGCCCCTAAAAAAGAGGTTCAACACTTTATTGCAATTTACCTTTTCACAAGTCCCTACCTTCTGGGTTAACGCAGTGGCCTTCAAATATTTGTTATTATTTTTTAGCAGTGAAACTCTTTTCATTCTCCTTTTTCAAGTAAAGTCAAACAAAAGCCCAATGTATAAAATACATCAAATGGAGCCTCAGCAGTGGCCTGGATCCTGCCTACTTGGTCCCCTCCTTACTCCTGAAGTGGTCCCAAAGGCTCTTCTGGGGAGCCTAGGGCTCCCTCGGGAACAGAGAACCAGTCATTTAGAGAAAAATGTGTCTGGAACATGCTCTGGCTTTGGAGCAGCCAAGGTGGGGCTGGAGCTCAAGCTCACAGTTATGGCCTCTTCTCTTCCTAATTAAGAGGTCTTCTCCATGGTTGCCACCCTCTCCTGTTTTTTAATGTCTAGTTCCCATGTATTTTTAGTGTCAACATAGCACATGCTCCTTTTAAAAAATGTAGAAGTTCAGAAAAGTATAAAAAAAAGAAAAAGAGATCATTATAATTCTACCATCAACAACAAATTTCTATTACATTTTTTGATAAATTTCCTTCATTTATCCTGGAAGCAGTGCATGTCACCATTGGCATTAGGCCTTTCAGAGCTGCAATGTATGGAGAAATCGTGCAGATTTCACTCTGGAGCCTTGGGCTTCAGTGCAGGCTGAAACTTTTAAGCTGATCACTTTCTACACAGAAATGCATTTTCACCTTCCATGGTGGAAGCCCCATAGCGTGGTGCACACAGGCTATTAATTTTGGACTTCCAGGCTATGATTCCCCTCTCTCCATCCTCCATCGCCACCATCCTCTCTCTCCAGGGATTTTATCTACTCGGACTCTATCTATTTGAAATGCTTGATTCATCCACTCATTTATAGGAAGCCAACCACCGACTCCAGCTCTGGCTCTGGCTGCCCTGGGCTAGAAAGAGATGAACAAGACCTGACCCTCTGCAAGCTGGTCACAGTACAGTTCAGGAAAAAACGATAAGGGTACAAATAACTGTTATTCAACGCAGAAAAGAACGACAGCAGAGGTGAAAATAAAGCCCTATGGGATTCAAAGGAGGGAAGGATCACTCCAGATGGGGGCAACGAGGAAAGGCTACATGAACAGGATGGCGCTAGAGGTCAGTTGTGCAGATGGAGAGGAACAGCATTCCAGGTGGAAGGAACAGAATGCACACAGCCTCGGGGCACAAAGGAAGATGGCTACTGTGCTACTCACTTGAAATCCTGGCAGCCCAGGCATGCCCTCAGGGCCCTGTGACACAGACAGACAAAGCAGGCAGGTTAGGAGCAGCATTGCCAGGCCAGCAGGAACCTGTACCTCAGGGGCCCACTCCCTCCAGCACCTTCCAAAGGTCCAAGCGTGTTCCCACACAGTGGGGCTCAGGATCCATTTTGCAGAGGATGCCAAGGCCCGGGAGGGGAAGGAACCGTGCAGTCACACACTAGTTAGCACAGAGCCAGGAGCTGCTCAGGAGTCTGGAGCCTCTGCTCCCCAGAGCTAGGACTCTCGGCACTTTAAGTCCCACCCTCCTCTTCCGTGAAATCACTCAGCGTCAGAAACCTCTGGGGCAATGAATGCAGTGCTCAACCTCCACAAATATTCTCAGAAAACAAGTTCCTAAACTCTGAGGAGTGGGCCCAAAGGGTGTGCTGGGGTATTTGGGGGTGGAAGTGGGGGCAGTTGGTGAGACTCAGTTCTTTTCCCTCAGTAAGAGGCAGAATTTTAAAGGACCAGCCATTTTAAAGTCTCCAGGAAACAGAAAATTTGTGGTTCACTCCACATGGGGCCAGGACTCTTTTTCCTCCAAGCCCAGATACCCACATACCTATTAAAGACTTAGAGTTTGGCAGAATATATATATACAGAGAGATATAACTGAACGGCAACAACTTTCTCAATATACTGTACAGTCGTCCCCTTGGTATCCGAGGGGTATTGGTTTCAGGATCCCCTGTGGATACCAAAATCCACAGATGCTCAAGGCCCTTATATAAAATGGTGTAGTGTTGGCATATAACCTACATACATACTCCATATACCCATACACTTTAAATCATCTCTAGATTACTTATAACACCTAATACAATGTAAATGCTATGTAAATAGCTGTAAAACCAATGTAAAAGCTATGTAAATAATTGCTAGCATGCAGCAAATTCAAGTTTTGCTTTTTGAAGCTTTCTGGAATTTTTTTTTTCAGCACTTTTTATCCAAGGTTGGTTGAATCTGAGGATGCAGAAGTAACAAAGGACTAACATATATGTGTGTGTGTGTGTGTGTGTGTGTGTGTGTATACATATAATATACTATATACATATATCTATATGATGTACATATAGTAGAGTGGAAAAGTATAAAGGTACAGCTGGGAGGGAACTGCCTCTGAGTAGGAAAATCTTAATCTTCCCCTTCAGGGCCTGGATTTGCCAAAGAGGAGGTCAGGGATTGGGACAGGAGGAGGATTCTCAGGTGGGGAAAAGAGAGAAGGGGTGGGGGCAGACAAGGCCCAAGGACTCTTAGAACAGAGATGTTGATTCTTAGATCTTAGGCTGTCTGTGTTTTGCTTTAGAATTAAGCCACCTAACACTCTAAACCCCCAATAGTTTGGGAAAAACTTCTGTGAAATGACTTGCTTGTTTGCTGTAGGGTTTGCTCACTGGGGTGTTTTGGATGATTTTAGTAGAAATCAAGGAAAGGGAGACCCACTGGCTGTAGTATAGAAGAGACAGTGAAGTGAGCCACCAACAGAGGCCACTCAGCAGGAGATACTGGCTCTAAAGGAATTGTGCCGGTATTTGCAGAAGCCTTGGGGAGAGCGCTGAATTCTCCCTAGGATGTGGATGGCAGAGGCTCAGGCCAACCTCACTGGGGGCTGCAGGGCGGGTGGCCCCGGCAGACATCTGGACTGCGCAGCTGTGGAAGTATAAGCCTCAATCTCTGTGTCGGCTTCCACAGAGTGCCCCAGTTTGCAAAGCAGTTTCGCATCCATCACCTCTTATAAGCTGCCCCAAAGGCTGGTGAGGTGTTATCAGAGAGATGATGAGAGTCTCAGAGCATTATGTAGAGGAGATGGGGCTGGAACCCAAGGCTCCTAAGGCCAGAGCTCTTTCCTCTCTCCCCAGCTGTCACCAGCAGATATGGAAGATGCAGTGTGGATTCATTGCATAGACTGCAGGAGGAAGCTTCCTTCCTCTTAGGTCCTGTTGTGTCATGGACAGACTCTGTGGACTTGCAGAAATAATGTAGCTTCTTTGTGTGTTCCTGATCTCTAAATGGGGCCAGAAAGACTGAAGCCAGTCACATTCCCTCCTCATGCGCCAGTTTCCCCATCAGCACAAGGCTAGGTCTCTCTAGGCTCCTCCCATTCTGGGAAATGAGATCATGTAAATAAAAGCATGCCCAAAGCACTGCTCAGACATCTATCAATTTGTTACTTATGATTCTCTGATTTCCATTACACATATTTCTGATGCAAGGGACTGGAAGCTTCCACTGCATTGGACAAAACTCCCTGCACAAATTAATGTGACAGCAACTTCTCAGAAATGCAAAGCTCTCTTTCTATTCACTACTTCAAGACACTCTAGCTCTACGCTTCAGGAGCTCAAAGGATTCCAAACCAACCCAACTTAGTTTCTGCTGGGGTGTCTGGGTAGGACCCTCACTCTAGGGCAGCTGTGGATACACACCGGAGGCCCGATGAGTTCAGGAATGTCTGAGAGATTCATGAATCCATGGGTGATGTTGATCAAAGGCTGAAAAGAGAAAAATCAGACAAAGAGACAGAGGGTGGCACGTGTCCCACCTTGCTCCTGGCAGTGAGGCTTTCACTGAAGTCACCCCGCATGGCAGACACAAGCAGACACTGACAACACCCACCCACTACCAACACACCCATCCCTCCCACTTACAACACAGCCCTGAGCCGCCTTATCACTTTCCTCTTCGATTAATCTTAAAATTGCACCATACATAAATGCCTTTTTTCTTTTATAATTTTAAATATATATATTTAAATATTATATTTATATGTTATATAATTATAAATTAATATTAATACCCACAGAAAACAGTGTTGTTGGGTGTGTGTGTTTGTCCATGTGGTTATTTTATATAAATGGCATCAGGCTGTAGGTATTATTCTTCAACTTGCTTTTTTCACTCAATCATACAGCATGGAGGTCTTTCTATATGGAAGTTTTCAGTATGAACATTTTTAGTTTTAACAGATTGCCAAAGAGCTGTCTAAAGGGGCCGTACAACTTACACTTCCAACAAAGTACGTGAGATTATCTATTTCACTACACCCTTACCTATACTTGATATTTTTTAATCATACTTTAAAAAAAAACTCTAGTCATTCTTTTTTCCACTTATTTGGGACTTTTTGTCTTTCTGTCATGTCCCAGTATGACATTATTTCTCTTGGAAGGGCAAGAGTTTTTCACAAACGTGATGTTCTAATATTCAGTGGCTGTGATCGTGTCCCAGCCCACATCCCAGTCTTCTCTCCAAATTTCCATCGCTCTCCACCCACCCCCATGCCCATCAGCTCCCTGTGCCTTGGACACATCCATGTTTTTCTCTTCTGTGCTTCGGCTCAGAGTGTCTTGACCACCTGAGTTCTGGAAGTCCTGTCCTCCATACTTACCTGGTAAATCCTTCTTAGCTTTCAAGTCCCTGCTCAAGGAGACTTCTTCCAGAAAGTCTTCCTTGATTTCTCATAACCTAAACCATCTTTCCTCCCTCATTCCCCCACTTATGTTCCTTGCCTCTTGGTTACAGCTCTGTTACACTCAGTCTCCTGACTGCAGATGCTGCCAACCAGAAGAGAGGGTTCTGGACACACTATGTGTGACAATAGTGGTACCAGGGTAGGAACAGACAGGTGGGCCATGCTGGCAGGTAGGAACTCCAACACCAGATGCCAGCTACGTGCCCCCTGCATAAAGAGCAGCCCTGAAGGCCCTGAAGTTGTGGACAACCTTCCCTCCCCTTTAGCAAAAGCAGCCATGCTGGTGATACCTGGTGATACTCACACTAGATAAGATCTCGATGCGCCCTGGTAGCCCCCTGGGCCCAGGGGGTCCCACAATGCTGGCTCCATCCATCCCTCTTTCACCCTGGATATAGTAGTGAGAGTGGAAAAAAAATTCACTGTATGTGGATAATGCTCCTAGAACCAGGCTGAAAATTTCTCTCACCCCCACTTCAGATCTGTGATCTCACCTTGGGTCCCTGGTCTCCTTTTTCTCCTTTGGGACCCTGGCAAAACACACAAACAAATATTCTTTGGGTTTTTTTCTATTCACTTTGCCCACGCTCCATCTATCCTCCCATCTTGCCATCTCTCCCTAAGCTCTTACAAGGATTTTGTCCCAGATAATGGGAGCAAAAGATGAGGGGCAAATTCCCCTTACAGAGTCAGAAGGAAGGAATATCTCACAGACAGTAAGAGGACCAGAGGCCCTCTCCCAGCACGGGGTGAGTGTCCTTTTGACCCTGAACCCAGAGCACTCTGCATCTGGGGTGTGGGGGAGGTCTTCCTATTCAATCATGGAGGGGGCTGTGCTGCTCCCCTTTGCGAGGCTCAGCTCCTCCTGCACTGGTGCGCTCAGCTCTGGGTACCACTTGGATCTCAAATATAATGAGATCCTGGGGATTGGTCCTCTTGAGAGCAGGTATCATAGAAGAAGATGGGCAACACCTCCCTGGGGGGTAGATGTAGTGGGGAAGGGTACTTGTTAGGAGCAAGGGATTCTGAAACGGGGCAAAGTGTGAGTCTTGAATGGGAGGCAGGAAGGAGGCAATGAAGCAGAGATGCTTGATGGTAAGGGACTGCAGAGAGAGAGAAGGATAATTTTCAAGTTTTCCCACATGATGTTTTGTGCAAAACCTCTGTGCTACTCCTCAAAGAAACAAGCTATAAAGAGCACCTGGTCTCCCCACCACACAGCTGGAAGCTGGAGGCGCAGAGAGGGTAAATTAGTGAAAGTAGCAGAGCCAGGATGGCACCCCACAGCTTCTCCACTCCAGTGTGACAGCATAACAATCCTCAAAATGAAGGTGTAAAAAGTCAACCTACACTTGAAGCCGTTGGTCCAGAGATTCTGGGCTCATGCAACAGCCTGATGCTCCCAGAGCCTTCAGTATCCTAGGGAAGGAAGAAGAATGAGAATTTCAGTACTGATTCCCGAGCACCTCCCTGTGCCAGGTGTGATGCTGGGAGCTGGGGCTCAGTGGGGAATCAGCACCACCTTGGCGTTCAGTTAGCTGGCCTTTCCAGTAGTCCTTAGCGCACGTTGTTCTTTAACCACAGAAAGGAGGAAACGTACCTCAAATCCAAGTCCCATTGTACATCCAGGGCCTCGGGGCCCAGGGGGTCCAGGGGGCCCTGGGGGTCCCATGACCCCAGGAGCGCCAACTTGTCCATTTTTCCCTGGGGGTCCTGGTAAGCCTCTGTTGCCGGGATCACCCTGTAAGGAAGGGGACAGGCTGATTATCTAGCCTTGGAGTCACTCATGGAAGGAACAACATCCGCAACCGAGTCAGAAAATTGTTCTTTGAACTTAATTAGATCGTTGGATTCTCTGATCAGCGCTACTTGATTGTACAGAAACAGCCATCTTGCCAATTGACATTTCTCTTGGAGATAAGCTAATGGTGCTCATTGAATGAATTAGGGTGGAGTGGGTGAGAGAGGAGAAAACCTGGTGGGTTATTCACTCTGCTCCAGCTGTTCTGCCTTTCCCAAGCAGTTCCTTCCAGATGTTTCTCTCTGATCCATGACATTAATATATTCAATACTCTAGCCCAACAGTTCAATTATACTAAACTCAGAGAGAGGGGAGGAAGGAGGAGAAAGATTTTTCTTCTTCATTTTCATTTTTTACCTTTTCACCAAATGAGCCATTACGTCCTCTTGCTCCCTGAAAAAAAAAAATCGGGGCCAATTAATATATATTTCATTAGATATGTTTAAAAGAAAACGCAGGATTTCAGACTCTTAAGTAACAGGACATTAAAATGGGACTCTTCCTGCTCAGTTCTGACTGATGTCTCAAACCTGAGCCCATTACAGTAGTTGTGAGTTTGCTTAAGCAGGTCATGCTGAAAGCTTGTGAAACCCATCTTCCAACTATTATCTCATCACCTACTTCAAGAGTGAAAAGGAGAAGTTGAAGATTAACCAGGAAGAGATTGTAGAGGAAGAATTCCCTTGGAGAGCTGTCAGTGTACTGGGTGGGCCCGATTCCCCTCCTCGAAGCCAAGGGAAGGGACTTCAAGAATTTGATACGTATTCCCTAGGCTTCTGGGGATATGTGGATGATGGCTGGTTCTCTTCTGGAAAAATCTAAAGACCAAAATCTGGCTGGAATAGCCCCAGAATGGGGGTGGGGGGGTCCCTAAAGCAGGTTGCGTGTCCACCGCCAATGGGGGACACAGTACAGGTTTCCTGGGGGGTTAGATGTGGATCCCAAGGAAAGGAGCCAGCTGCGAGCTCAGATAGAGGGGAGGACCAATGGGGGCTGATGGTCAGGAGTGGTCAGCCACAGGAGACACTGCACTACATCAGAGGGCTGCAGTCGGGGGCTCCCCGCTAGAGAACCTCCAAGGAAACCACAGAAGCACCCGCAAGAGAAGAAGCCAGCAATTGCACGGCCACACAGAAGGCCCTGACACCATGATACACCCGCCATCTAAGGCTGTGCCTTCTCCCAAACCCCTCTTTCCCTGGGCCAGATTCCCCTTCCTATATCAAATCCATAGCAATGACAGAGTGGATAGTTCCAAAATAGTCATGCTCAAAAATAAGATGGCAAGTGATACTGAATCTGAAACAGTGAGGAATGGCAAAGAGGAAACATGGGAAGCTGAAGCCAGAGGCTCCAGCGGTGGAGAGGAACCACAGGTAGAAAAATAGCAGGCAAGGGAGGAGTGGAAGCCAGGAGCAGGGTGTGGGTCTGACAGGGAGATGGGTTGAAACTCTGGAGCTAGATAGCCATGGAGCCCTGCCCATCTCCCCTCACCTCCCACTTCCACTCCTGCTACAAGGATAATAAGAGTTGTTTACTGGAGCAAAGGGATAGGGCAGAGCCCCAGGTGGCTAGTGGACCCTGGGAGGTCCAGGGGTACCCCAAACACCTAAGATCAGCTGTTGAGGTGCCCTGCCTGATGGCACATCCTACTCTTCCCGTCACCTTCCTGAAACCTGCAGAAGTAGCTACCACCCAACTCCCTAGTAATTTGTACAGAGGCGGGAAACAGACTAAAGAGGGATTCCAATTTCTAAAGCAAACACACAAACAAGAAACACTACACATTTGAGGAGAGGCAACACTCCGAAAGAGAAACGACAACATCAACCATGGAAGGTTTCCTGAGGAAACAGCTAAGAACACGATCCAATCAGGAGTCTAAGTAAATACTATATATTCTCAGGGAGAAAAGGGAGGATATTACAGCCAAGAAACAAGGACAAACTATTATGAAATAAGAACAGTGGTTATAGTAAAGAATCAGGGCTTCTCTGGTGGCACAGTTGTTAGGAGTCCGCCTGCCAATGCAGGGGACCCAGGTTCGAGCCCTGGTCCGGGAAGATCCCACATGCTGTGGAGCAGTTAAGCCTGTGCGCCACAACTACTGAGCCTGCGCTCTAGAGCCCGTGCGCCTAGGGCCTGTATTCCACAACAAGAGAAGCCACCGCAATGATAAGCCCGTGCACCACAATGAAGAGTAGCACCTGCTCAGCGCAGCTAGAGAAAGCCCGCACGCAGCAACAAAGACCCAACACAGCCAAAAATAAATAAATAAATAAATTTTGTAAAAAAGAAAAAATCAATTAGAGACCTTAGAGACAAAAATATATAACTGCTGAGAGAAAGTACTCTACAGAAGGGTTGAATAACAGAAGAGACACACCTGAAGAGAGAATCACAGAAAGAATCCCGTTACTCTATGGGATGGTGGGAGGAGAGGGGTACTTGCAGAAGGAAGCAAGGCTGGCTGGCTAGACTCTGTCACTTCCCTGCCTGCTGGCCTGACATGGGAAAAATTAAGTGTGACCTTTTATCCCGGGCAGAAACAGAAAGAATGGGGTTCCAGTTTTGTTGCCCAATCTGCAGGCTACAGTTTCTTTGTCTGCTTTTCTTGGGTGTGACCAGCCACACCATCTTCTGCTGCTTGACGCAACCTGTCCTTGAAGGAAGTACCAACCTTATGCATTTTCCAAGTAACAAGTCAAATCACAGTCAGGGATATTGTGAAATAGAAGTTAACTTAGTCCCATCTCTTGACTCTTGGACTCTATCCTCTGAAAACATTATTATTGTGTTGCCAGTTGACCCCGTTCAAGAAAAAGATGTTCATAAGGTAAAAAACTGTACTTTTTCAATTGCCTTCCTGACTCTTTTCAAACCAAAAGTACACCTTGTAGCAGTTTCAAAGGAAGTTCTAGAAGATATGTGGGACCTTGATTTATCTTTCTCAGAAACAGATGATTTTATCCAGCTTGTACATATAAAGGCAGGAAATGAGTCCCCTGTCACTGAAGGTGTGTAAGCTGAGCAGAGATTGTAGAGGAGCATCAAGGATCAAATGTATCATTGGATCTTATGTGGTGTTACATCCCTGAGATTATTCATTTTCTTTAGCAATTTTTGTTATTTCACATTCAGACTATTCTCCTTGGTTTACTTTTGGGGGGAGCGTGGGGGTGGGGGGTAAATGTCATGTGCGAGGCTTTCCTCCAGCTCTCCAGATGAAAATTTCAAAGTCCTTCTAGAGTCTACTTTTCCTTGACCAGAAAACATCATATACACACAGGGCAACAAATTAGGCCTCAGAGCAAATTCCAGGAAGAAAAATGTGATTTATCTGCCACAATTAGTCTGGGCAAGCCTGCTGCTCTGTGCACAACCGAGCGTCTGAGCAGCTGCAGAATGCGCCTGTGAGGGTGTTTGTGTGCGGATGTGGGCATGGGCGTGGGTATTTTTAAGTCCGAGACCAGCCAGGGAGGGGTGTGTGGGAGGGGTGTGTGTGGGAGGGGTGTGTGGGGAGGGGTGTGCCTGGGAGGGGTGTGTGGGGAGGGGGTGTGTGTGGGAGGGATGTGGGGAGGGGTGTGCGTGGG